GTTCAAAAGAAAAAGAATGCAGACGAATTAGAAGATTTATTTTTAATGATAACATCAAAGTAAGTATTTTTTATTGCATTAAAAAATTATATGTTATTTTATCATTTAATTATTGTAGTGATATTAAAGAGATAGATTCACTTACTGGAAAATTGAAGTACTGTTGGTCAATGAGTTCTGTGTTATCATGTGTATTGGGTAGAAGTGAACCAGTCACAGTGGATATAATTTTTGATACAACACGAGAACATCGTCAAAATAGAAGATATTTTGTAAAATCAGATGTTGCAAAAGTAAGAAATAAAAAAATACAATTGTAGATGATATATAATAATAATATATAACATATATAATGCCATATAAATAATAATATATTGCTTGATTATTTTGCAGGAAATAGTAAAAATAATTAACGAAGAAATCAAAAAAAGACCAATGTTATTGAAAATTTTTAAATGTATGAAATGTTCAACTCATTTTTCTCAAGATTTAGAATATGTTACTCTTATAAATTCTACTATATCAGGTATATTTTTTAATAAATAATAAATATAAATAAATTACAAACATTCTATAAGTTACAATTCTTCTATAAATTATAAGATTCAATATTTAATAGATTATAGATTCAATATTTAAAAAAATCTATTTTATTAGGTATGAAATGTCCCACTTGTAAAAGTACTTTAGTTATAGAAACAGATGAATTATCAATTTTAAACATGGAAAATGATATTTCCGAAGATTCATTGGAATGCATAAATAAAAATCAGTATTCAGAAAATTTAATAAAGGCTAATTTACAACATTCTGAGTCTTATTCTAGTATTGGTAAGTATTAGTTCACTATAAGATTTAGCATGTATAATTAATATTTTAAAAATAAACGAAACATTTGATGAAAAAAACTTTTTAATAATAAAATATAATATATTTTTTGAGTTTATTTATATAACCCAATTCTTATTATTTATTTATGTGATGTTCAAAACTATTAATTGTAAAATAAATAAAATATAAGAATTATATATTTTTATGAGGTTTCTACAATAAAAATTAACCATATATTTATTTGTTTATAATATTGAGTTTTGTAATATTTAGTATATTTAAATTTTACAATATTTCTTAATTTTTGAACGTGAATGCACTAATTTTGTAACTGCTGATTGCATTACTATGCATTGTACTATTGACTGGGACTATAACATACTAATCCCGGTGCAGGTGGAATGGAGAGTGGAGCTATATCCGTCACCACTTCTCTGGTGCACTCCGATTCTCACACCCAAGCTCAAGTCTGTTGTAAGCTTCAGCCACTGTATTTTATTACAGCACTTTTTTTATTATAGCACTATTTTCTCAAGCACTTTCATAGTTAAAGACATAAAGCTGTAATATTAGTTGCTTTACTATTTACAATTTTATATTATTATTATTAGGTCCATATTTTTATTTTTGTACTCACAAAATTGTATTACACATTCATTTAATACAAACAATTATAACAGTTCTATTATGTTAAAAGAGATTATAAATAAGAATTATATAGGAATTTGAAAAGAAAATGTGATTTTTTAAATAAAATAAAACAAAAAAAAAAGTATGAGCACCTCTTTGAATAATATATTATGTTAAAATTATATATAAATATAATATAGTTTTAATAATATATATTAAATTTAAATTATTATTTTATTATATCATTTATAGGTTCAGCCACAAGTTTAGAGGAATCAAGAGAATCTACACCATCTGCAAATACATCAAATAAAAAATATGAAAGTGACATAGAAGTATTAAGCAATCCAAGTCAAAGTAGTATCGAAGTTTTGGACGATGCATCGAGGTAAAGTGTAATTTTTTTATGTTTTTTTTCTGTACACAATTATTCGATATATTCATAAAAACATTTTTTAAATATTAATTACATATTAATTACAATAAGTTTTTTCTTTATTATATTTATATTAACTGCTACAGAACTCATCTTACGCCTCATAGAAAGCGTTCCTCAGAAGAAAGACGTACTGCTATTGTTCCATCTCTTTTAACAATACCTGATGTAGCTCCAATTATAACTGGTTTAACTGAGAGTAGCTCTTCAGGTTTACTAAAATTTTTAATAAATATATATAATAATTTAAATATATAAAATTATTCAACTTTTATTATAAAAATGATAATTTTAATTAATAAAACTATGTTTCTAGGTTCTTTAACGGATAGTATATGTACTGCATATGAAAATAAAATAATGAAGCAAGTTAATGCAGATGAAAAATCTCTTAATAGTAACAATAAAGAAATAAAATTTACACCTGTAACAAATTTAACTTCTATGCTAGGTGGTTAGTAAAATTATATATATTTTTTATGTTTTAACATTAAACTATGTATTAGCTACATCTTATTTAATGAATAATTTTAGGACTACTTCAAAGTATAAAAATTGGTAATAATAAACCATTAATGTTAAAAGAAGAAACATCACATCTAATGAGCAGTAATATTCAATATTCTTATACAGACTTCAATAGCATAGATCATAGAATAAAATTGCATATCATTTTAAATATATTTGAACATGAAAATGAAGAACTCATTCTTCTCCTCAGGGTAATATATTAAATTCTATAAACTAAATTTATTTTTAAAATTAATATTTCATTTGAATGTTCTTAAATCAATGAAATTGATGATACTTTAGGCAGAAATTTTAATGCAAAATACAAAAGAAACATTTCCTGGTTGTTTGGTTTTATCTACATTCAAAGTATATGTGCTTAAAATTGTTGGAATAGAAGGGTAATAATAAAATAAGATTTAATTTTATATGAATTTCATTTATAAAAATTTATATTAATTATACATTCTATTATTATTACAGAGAAAATCCACAACGTTGGTTGCATAAAGAAATTAGTTGGACGATAGATAGATTAAAACGTTTTTCACCAATACCATTCAAACAAGGTATTTTAATTGAATTAGAACAACCTAACAAAATTAATGACGAGCCGAATTCTACTATTACATTCTTATGCGTTCTACAAGATCTACAAAGGACGCTCAATTTTCTAGTTTATGTTACTGGTAACAAGAGCATTTATTTGATATTTAAATATTATCAATAATCGATACTCAATTAATTATTTTCTACTACAGATTTTTTATTACCATCTATTTGTGAAGAAGTTGAACTCACAGTCTCAGAATATTGTACCTCTTCAATGTATCAATTATTAAAAGATTGTAAAAATTACCAAGATGGAGATACTGTTAGACACCTCGCATTATTTTCTTCTGCCATATTAAAATATCAAAATCTCGAAGTTCAACTTAAATTATCTAGTTTAATAGTGACTACATCTGTCTTAGCATTGTGTAATATGCAATGGCTTCTTCCAGGCAATAAAGAATCACCACATATAATAAAAGAACAAGCAATGAGCAATTTGATTGGAGTTGTATGTATTGAAATATTAATAAATATAAAAAATAAAATTATTAAAATATTACATTCTAATTTTATATATTTAATTGCGTTATTTGTATTTTTAGGAACATTATAACTCTTCACTGACATTGAATTTCTTAGATGAAGTAATAGGACAGGAGGAAACATGGATTCTAGATTTTGTTTCTATGAGTGCTGCAGAAATAGTTGTTACTTCTATACGATCTCCATGGGAGGAACTTTTTTCAATTCCTTTACAAAATACAATTTGCAAATCACAAAATTGTGAAAATGAATAGAACATTAAATATAGATAACTAGAAAAGTATTCTAGTCCAAGAAAATATATCAGGTAATTTATCAACGAATATAATTTATTGAATCAAATTGATTAATTAATGCAATTTTGCACAAATTAGTGATTTATAGTTCTTTTATATAAGATTTGTAATTTATTAGATAAAAAAAAATATATATAAATATATTTGACCAACAAAAATATATTATATAATTATATAATCATACAATATGACAAAAATATATCCTAAATAACAATTATGTGCAATTTCATAATTTATATTTTATATTGTTCTACAATTTATAAAACATAATATTATTTATGCAATAAAATTGAGAAATGTTATATAAAAATATTTAAAAGTATAAAAAATTGTGGATAATCTTTTTAATATTTAAAAAATTAACTATCTTATTTATCTTATATTTATGATAATTCTGATAAATATTTGAAAAATTTATATTTAATAGTATCTTAAATTTTTTCTTAATAATAATATTTTATAATATTTATTTTATTGGAATATTTAACAAAAATTTCAAATGGTGCTATTAATATTAAAATATTATATAAAATGATTGTTAATGCAAATAAATTTTTATATTAATAATTTATTACATATTTTAAATAATTAAATGCTTGATAATATAATTATGATTTATTTGTTCTTAGATTGTTGAAGCTAATATTCATATTTTATTTACAATTAAAAAATTTGTTTTTATAATATTTATTGCTATTCAATTTGAAATAGTTTTTAATAAAATGAAAATTTGTATAATTATATGGTTTTTATATTGTAAAGAAAATTAAACAAATTATTTTTCATAAATATTAAAATTATTAAAATGTCAAAAATATTCAAAGAAATATTCAAAGAATATATTTTCTTTATATTATAATAAAAATAAATATAAATATTATAATAATGAACAATATTTGAATATTAATCTGTGATATATTAATTTTTATCATTTATCTATGGAAGTATTTAATATGCATGTATGTTCATTATAAAACTATATTATATTATGATTTATAGGAAAGAAATATAAGGAATGATTTTATATTAGATTCATCAAAGACATTAATACTTAGTTTAAATACTAAAATTAATTTTAATTTATATATTATACTAATTAACATTAAATAATTGATAACTTATTGTATTATGAAGATCAAAGATTATTTGTATATATATGTAAATAAATTCTTATGATATCCATTATCTAAGTTATGTTATGTCCTAAAAAGTTATATAAAAAAAGTAATAATATATATTTAAAAATGAATGCTATATACAAAGCAAATACATACTTAAATTTAGTGTTGTAGTTATAGCTATAATTGAGACATGTGAAAATTTGTATACTCAAGATATTCTGTATTGATGATGATAATAGAACATGTAATATGTAAATGAAACAGTTGGAAATGACTGGAAATAACTTAGTACGTTTATTGCATACATAAAATGTCTCAAGTATGTCCCTATTATATTACTTTTTAATAGTTAATAGCGTTGTTAAATATCATTTAAGTCGTAACAATATAAAATAGTAAATTGTAAAATAGATTAGATTTAAATTCAATTAAAATGTACTATTCTATAAAATTTATAATATTGATAATAGCCAGTAAGTTCAATTATGTTCATACTATTTTATTATATTATTTAGAGCTAAAAATAAAATATATTTCTAGTACCAATTATTGCGGGACATTTTGGATACAATAAATGTGGTATGTAATAATTTCTAACATTTTTTACAATATTTTCATTTTACATAAATATAATATTTCAGACCAACACACATGGATTCAAAATTTTAAATTATGTGGCGGAAAATTACAATCTCCAATACATATATCATCATTCAAATCAATACCTCTTCCTTTGCCAGCACTTGAAACAATTGGTTATCATGATTTTCTCCCAAATCCATTATATTTAAAAAACAATGGCCATTCAGGTATTATGATTTTATATAAAATAAAATGATATAAATTATAATATAGATTGTAAATGAAATGATTATAAATGATAATAAATTATATTTAGTTGTAATAAATTTTTTTTTTTAGTTGTCATAAATATAAATAATCGTTTTGAAAAAAAATTACCTTATATATTCGGAGGTTCACTTAATGTGAATCAAGAATATGAAATAGATCATTTACATTTTCATTGGGGTGCAAAAAATAACAAAGGATCTGAGCATATTTTAAATGGTGTTAGGTAAAATATAAAAAAAAATACGAGTTTAATCATTACTAATATTTATTTAATTTTTTTATTTTTCTCTTATAGATATCCTATGGAAATGCATATAGTTCATAAAAATAAAATTTATTCAAATTTATCTAATGCATTAAATTATAAAGATGGCCTTGTGGTTTTAGGGATTTTTTTTCAAGTAAGTTCTTAAAAAAAAAAAATTTTTTTTTGAATATTAAATTATTTTATTTAAAGATTACATTGACAGGATTACATTTATAGTTACAGGAAAAAGATAACAAAAAGTTATATTCCATTGTAAATCATTTATTGAGTGTGCAACAATTAAATAAAGAAGTAAAATTAAATATGTCTATAACCTTGGCTTCATTATTACCTAAAAATATAGATATATTTTATACTTATAAGGGTTCATTAACTACACCACCATGTAATGAAGTAGTAACATGGATAATTTTTCCAAAGCCAGTACCAATATCTTTCACACAGGTATCTTAATATATTGCAATTAATATTTATTAGTATTTTATTATTAATTTGTTTTTTATTAAAAATAATCTGTTTGCAGCTAAATAAGTTTAGATTACTTTGTAATGAAAAAGGTACATTAGCTAATAATTACAGAAAATTGCAACAAATAGGACTTAGGAAAGTATATGTTAGAAAGTTAAATCCATCTTTAATTGAAAAATATAATAAAACGATTTTTAATGTTATGAATTTGGAATGGTTTTGGCATTAAATATAATTTTACATTATAAAAAATAAAATATATTACTATTATAGAAATAATATTATAACAACAATTCTATAGAATTATTATTAAATAATTATAATAAGAATTATAAAAATAAAATATTTATATTTAAAAAATTAAATTAAAATTTTAAATTTATTTAATTTTAAAAATTAAACATTCGAATAAAAAAATAATAGGTATTACTATGTAATATATATAGGCATTACTATGTATATTGTATAAAATAAAAAAAGACCAAATAAGAAATAATGTTCCTTTATTATATGATGAAATATAAGTTTTATAAATTCTTTTTTTCTATATTTAATTTCAAATTAAACGAGAGAACATTTATACGATCTTGTTATGTTAATAATAATTAACCATCATTTAAATAAAGTGAAGAAATAAGCATAATGTTTAAAACTAGAACTTAGTAATAAGATTAATAAAGATTTTTAACTAGACGTAAAGATATCGAATATTAATTATTAGTGCAAGTAACTAGAATATGAAGATAGAGTTGGTGAAATCAAATACATTGCAGATGGCATTGATAATGTCACATTTCTACACAATGTTGTCTTCTGAATTACAAAAAACTTAAAATTAGTTGGTAATTCGATATAAACCAGATTTCAATTTTAAAAAATTAGATTCAGTGCGTGACAGTGTATTATTTTAACAGAAATTCGAATTGTCTGACAATATAATAAATAGCAATAAATAAGTTTTGCAGTGATAATTATAGCAATTGAGATTACAAATTATTTTTTTTTATTTGTATGCTATTCGAATCCATTTCTACGCGGCATATACGAATTACTTAGAGATTAATTATTAAAGGTTATGCGGTATTTTTTTTATCGATCGATTTTACTTTTATGCGTCAATCATTCGTTATTTAATGTTGATGTAATGCACGAAAATTTATCGTAAATTCACATTGTCATTCATTTTTTCGTGTATTTTTAAATCTTTTATTTTCTCAAAATAAAAATTGAAAATGGTATTTGAATCAATCATTGCTGAACTTTTAAATAAAGTATTAGGGGAGTATATTCAAAATTTGGATCATACGCAATTAAAATTGAGTTTGTGGGGAGGTAAGCATTTAACTACAAATTGTTCTGAAAATACTATATATTTTATATATAATATATTTCAATTATAAAGAACATACTTCTAATTGAACTACAATTGATGTTCAAGAAAATTAAAAAAATAGACATAATAATGTATATTTGATAATATATAGTCTGATATTTTATAAATACATATATATATATATATATATATATATTATTAGTAAATCAATGTGACATCATATCTATTTATATTATAATTTTTTCAAGGAATTCTTTATCGTTTATGAAACATATATATAATACAATTATGAATAAAATATACATACATCAAAATGTATTCTATATATATTCTATATATATAAAACATAATAAAATTTACTTTAATAAAATTAAAACAAATAATTTATCTTTGCTATTTTATTGAAAAAAAAACTTTTTGTTGGATTTGTTGAATATTAATTATTTTTTAAGATTTCAAATATATAAACATTATGTACATAAAATTTTATTTTTTTATATTATATATGAATATAAATATTATTAATATAATAAAAATATATTTATACAATTATAATATTATATTTTTTCTTTTATAAATCTTATACCAAATCAAATTTTGCAATTTATTTTTATACATGTTATAATTCATATTGTTATAGTAGAAATTTATATAGTTAAAAATTATTAATTAGTAATAAATAAGAAATATAAAACTTTTATGATATTTTATTTTTATTATCTATTTATTATATTATATATATATATTTTTAAATAAAAATATATTCTTTATTTTTATAAAAGATATTCTATTTTTCTGAAAGACATTTTTCTTTTTAGGAGATGTAGTATTGACAGATTTATTAATAAAAGAAACTGCATTAGATGTATTGAATTTACCTATTAGATTGGAACATGGAAGATTAGGTTTGTAGATCAAGTATGCATATTTGTTTAATAATACAGAACTAATATAGTTTGTATTTCTATCTTTCTTCAGGGAAACTTATATTAAAGATACCATTTAAAGATATGTGGAATGGACAGATTGATGCTATAGTTGAAGAATTATATTTACTTATAGTACCCTCAAATCAAATTGCATATGATGCAGAAAAGGAAGAAAAAATGCAGCTTGAAGCAAAACGTGCAGCGCTTGCAAGGGTTGAGAAAAAAAAACAATTAGCAGATATTAAATGTAATAACATTTCATATTTGATGATTTAACATTAAATACATTTATGATTTTCAATTTTTCTTTTAAATAATTACAATTATTTTATTTATAAATTTTTAGCACAAGAGAAATTAGATGATTCAATGGTTGAAAAACTCATTGCTCGAATGATTAAGAATATCCATATTGAAATTAAAAAGATACATGTGAGATATGAAGATCATATTTCATTTAAAGATCATCCTTTTTCTGTTGGTTTTACATTGAATATATTTACTTTAGAAAGTTGTACTGATACTTGGGAAATAAATAATTTAAAGGATATGTATGCTATTCCACAAATTTATAAGGTAAATTATAAAACTTACTAAAAGAAATATTTTTTAAAATAAAAAATATTTTTCTTTTAGTTATGCACACTAGATGGTTTAGCAGTATATCTTAATACAACTATAGAACAATTTAGTCATGTACAATCAAAATATTCAGACCTATTTTATAGTGGAATTGCAACTATAGATTATAATCCACCTGGTTATCAATACTGTAAGAAAATATAATTTAAAACAATACAAAACTAATTAGTATTATATTTATTAATTCCTTTATTTAAATTTTATAAATTAAAAATTTTTTATAATTATTTAGTATTGGGTCCAATAAATGTCAATGCAAAATTAAAATTAAATCCAAAGCCAGAAACAGATGGAAGTAATTATAAAATTCCTAAAGTGTGGTTAGACATGGAAATGCAAAAATTGAGAGTAGGATTAGCAAAAAAACAATATCATACTCTTGTTCAGTTAGGAGAAGGTTTAGATCAAGCTCAAAAAGCTGCACCATATAGAAAGTATAGACCAAATTTAACATCATATAGAGGATATTATAAACAATGGTAATAAATTATTAATTTTTTGAAAAATAACTTTATATATTAAGTTATATAATAAGTATATATTATATAATAATTTATATTATAACTTATATAATAAATTATTTTTAGGTGGAAATTTGCATATATTTGTGTCTTAGAAGAAACAGTACGTAGAAAACGTAGAAATTGGGATTGGAATCATATGAAAAAACATCGAGATATGTGTCGCTCTTACGCTGAAGCATATAAAATGAAATTGACAACCAAGAAAATTCCACAGGAAATAGAAGAACTTCTTACTGAATGTGAAAAGAAATTAGATATTTTTAATTTAGTCATTATTAGGCAAAAGATTGAAATGGAAGTTAGTTGATGAAAATTTTTAATTGATAAAAATATATATTCTATATTTTAATTAATTAATAAATTTTTAATTTGTACTCTATAGGTAGAAAAACTAGTGGAAAAAGAAAAAACTTTAAAAGCAAAACGTGGTTGGTTTGGTTTTTTGTGGTCCAATACACAGATAGAGGAAACAGAAGAGTTAAATTCTGCAGCTGCTATAAGTAATAATTTAAATTCTGTTATATATTTTAAAATATTTATAATATAATATAATTTATATATTATATTATATTATAATTAATTATAATATAATTAATTTTTTTATTCTTATAAATGTGTTATTTTAGTGCGAAAATTTGAAGAAGCAATGACACCACAAGAGAAAGAAAAATTGTATCGAGCAATTGATTATCAAGAAAATGGTGTGCCAGTTCATTATCCTGAAACATATGAAATGATAGATACGCGATTTCTTTTATACGAGTTACAAATTATAATTTTAGATACAGATAAAGAGTATCCTTGTATTATGGATCTTCAATTACATAGTGTTGAAGCTTGCTTCAAATCAAGACCATCTGCTAATGCCATTTTGTATGTATGTTTTATTTTTATTATAAAAATTTTAATTTTAAAATTTTAACATTGTAATATTTAATTTTTTATAGAGTTACAGCATCAATTAATGAGATGAAATTATTAGGAACAAAACAAGATGATTATATTCCTTCACTTTTCAATTCACACCAGCATGGCACAGATAATGTTCTGATTTCTGTATCGTATGAAAAGAATCCTCTTGATAAATTATGTGGTGATCGTATCATAGTAAAATCGAAATCTGTAGATATTATTTATGATGCACAAACTGTAATAGAATTAATTAACTTATTTAAAGTACAAAATTCACCAACTTTGTACAAGTAAAAATATTATATTTTGTATTATTTTTATCATTAATTTTACTTTACTTACAAAATACTTCAATAATTAATTTTTCTACATTTAGTCTTCAAGCAGCTGCTGCAGAACAATTAGAAGGTTTAAAAGAAATGTCGGCTTTAGGTTTAGAACATGCTATTCAAAAACATTCGGTATTAGATATACAGGTAAAAATTAATTTTATAATATAATATATTCATTATAAAAGATAGAATTTAATTATATATTAATTTAATAGGTTAATATGCAAGCTTCTCAATTAATCATACCACATGATGGAAGATATAATAGCACAAAATCATTGTTAATTATTGATCTTGGTAGTTTACAAATACATTCTCTAGAAAAACCAAAAGATGTTAAGACACATGTAACTGTTAAACAATTAATTAGTATGGGTAAATCTGAAGAAGATGTGTTATTGCATCTTAGAGAACATAGTTATGACAAATTTGTTTTAAAGATAGTTGATTTTCAAGTATGTACTTTCAATATTTTAAATATAAAATGTATAAGTATAAAAATTTGGTATAAAAATTATATAATATTATATAGATATTAGTTTCATTGCCGGGTGAAG